TGTGTTATTTACCTTTAGCTTTGTCAATAACAAAAACATAGTGCTCTAAAACGTCACATCATGTTGTGAAATATAGGTCGTAATGTATTTTTTAAATTCATATACAGGTGTGCTTAAAAGTCTGGCAAGTACTGTTTTAGGAATTGTACAAATGTATAGTTTTTAATGATACAATGGTCTGTTCTGAACAAAGTCTCTTAGAATGTCTTTTGGCGACTTCTCTTCAACTTTATGTGGATCAAACTATTAGAAAAGTTTATCGATTAATGATAAGAATGCTCCCTAGAATAATCGATTATTAAAACAATAAATTCGCTCAGACAACTAAACTATTAACAACTTTGGATCACGAGGACACGATCAAGACCAGACTGACCCCAAACCAGGACTGAACCCGGGTGCTTCAGCGTCGTCCCACCTTCTTAAATTAAGAGCAATCATCTCTGTATATTTTCGGCAAGATCGGCGCTTGTCCCGACAGGTTTTTATGCTCTCTGTTTCCCATCAGTAAACATGCATCACCTATAGCAGCAGATCTGAGCTAATCCCGAGCTACAGAGATGGAGGTGTGCTCCTTTTAGACAAACATGCTGTCATCAAAAACAAGTCCAGTCTTCTTCCTTTTCTGTGGCTCGGCTCCAATTAAACTTCAAAAAGTCTATTATTTGTTTGATTTTATCCTGAACATTCTTTATCTGTGTGATGTTTATCTCCCCGAGGCCAAAGGGACTGTCTCCGCTCACACCGGTAGAGTTCAGAGAGAGGGGGGCCGTGGTGGAGGGGAGGTGCCGTAAAAAGTTATTGGGTGCAAGAAGTTAATAAAGAAATCACATTTGTAAGTCGGCCCAGGGTATTCTCCGCCTCACTAAGTTGTCAACAATGTGAAGAGTTGCAGATGTGAGACTTTGGCTGCATTTATGGATTAGTACAATGTGAAATCTGGGAATTGGTCTCACAATTTAAGAAGGTTAGATCGTTGGTGAGTTTAAAATCACATTATCCAACATGTATTCCTCATTTATTTAGAACTACCATACTTTTTGAATGACATAATCGTATTTAAAGCTGGGGTACCTGACCGTCAAACTGCAAAAATGTAATTATGTTATAAAATCCATGTATTGTTTAGTGTTTTTTCGCCTTTGGTGGATCAGAGAGAATTACCCTCTCTCAGCCAATCAGCTCTCAGCCCAAAACGGGCTCTGCAGGGCTCTTTCTTGCAATAATTTCACTTTTTTGTTTTCTGTGATTGAGTTGGGGCAATCAAACTGTACTATTTATCAAACAAAAATGTCCCATATTTAAATAATTCCTAATGTAATATTTTCAAAACACGTTCTCTTTCTGCCCCAACGCTCTTTCTGTTGGGGCCCAAAATAGTTTATTATAAAAAAAAATAAAAAAAGGACCCCAAGTTTAAAGATCACATATTATACATTAGTTGTATTCATGTCTTTTTATCATCATTTCAAGTTATTTTATTTTGCCATTTCATGTTTTAGAACTTAAAATAATGTGTTATGACAAATAGTAGCAATAATAATATCAAAAAGTGTAAATCATCACCATCTACTGGTGACAGTGGGAATTACAGAACCCAATGCAAGTCATTCAAAACATATCAATCCAGGGCGATTCGACTCCAGAACTGCTCATAATCATTCAGAGATGCTACAAATGATTGATAAGGAAGAATTTAACAAATACATCACAGAACGTAATGTAAGAATCAGAATTATTTTTACTGCCATTATAGGTAACAGGAAGTCACACATTTGGATTTTGCCTTGGGTCATGCTGCAAACAAGTTGTATGAGTAAAAGGCATCCAAAAATGAAACTAATACAGCTAACAAATCTTAATTCAACTACTATATACAAATGTGTCAAGTACAAGGGACGGGTTTGTGGCTTGTATCAGTGTGGATGAAGCTACAACTTCCAGTATTGATTCAGCACAGAAAGCAGTCGTGTAACATAGTCGGACAAAGCGTAAGTTGGAGCCTTAAAAGTAAAAATCTTTTCGATGTATCTGTGCTGTAGAGGACAGTGTTAGTTCTGAACCAGGCACTGACCTACTCCTGTGTAAAGTACTTTGAATACGTGTACAGAGTTCACAGTTCACCTGGCGGGGATCATCTGAACATTCTCCCATCGCCACACGCTGGGACAGGCCCGGCTCGCTCTCTGTGCCAGAATCACTTAGGGCGCTGTGTGCTTGACGGCATTAATTCGTGAAGGATTTATACCCGTGCCTTCTCCCCGACCTCCATTAAAGCTCCTTATATACACCCATTACAGGATATGACACGACGCACATACTTCACAGACGCCGCCAAACCTCCGAGCCCCGTTTGGCCATTAGGACCCCGGCTACCTGCGAGCGCTGCGGCCAATCTCGATATCGGCTAATAAGGTCAATGAGTAAGAGTATGGCAGATGGGCCCGCAGTACATTAGGCAGTAAGTTGTGATAGTGACTGTGGGTGATTCATTTTTACACTGAGGTTTGTAACGACAGTGGAGCAGTGCAGTACGAATGAAGTGCTCTCTCATAAGTCACCGTGGGGTTTTTATATCGCAAAATGTCTTCATAGATGATCACGAATTGGTTTGGATGTAGGAATTTGATTCTAATTTCGAAAGTGCTGTTTTTATTAAACTCAAGGCTGGGGTTCCTAATATTCAAGCAATCTCTATCTCTGGTCCGTCTCTCTGGTCTCTTTCTCTGGTCTCTCTCCGGTTCTCTCTGGTCTCTCTCTGGTCCCTCTCTGGTCCCTCTCTGGTCTCTCTCTGGTCTCTCTCCGGTTCTCTCTGGTCCCTCTCTGGTCCCTCTCTGGTCTCTCTCTGGTCTCTCTTTCTGGTCTCTCTCCGGTTCTCTCTGGTCCCTCTCTGGTCTCTCTCTGGTCTCTCTTTCTGGTCCCTCTCTGGTCTCTCTCTGGTCGCTCTCTGATCCCTCTCTGGTCTCTCTTGCTCTGGTCGCTCTCCTTCTGGTGTCTCTCTGGTCTCTCTCTGATCCCACTCTGGTCTCTTTCTCTGGTCTCTCTTTGGTCTCTCTCTGGTCTCTCGCTGATCCCACTCTGGTCTCTTTCTCTGGTCTCTCTTCCTGTAGCCCTCAGTCCTGCTTCTTCCCCTCAGCGTGGTGTCCTCTGCAGCTTTATTAAATGATAAATTATACTACAGGGTCACATGGTCATATGTTTTCCTATGAAATGAAATATAATTGAAGTTTCTGAAATCACCTTTAATTTAAAAAAGAAGTTTATAACACAGACGTCTGCATTGGGCTGGGCTTGGTATGGGGCCACAGGGAAAAATTTGACCTATTGGACAATGAGCTGGTGACTTTAACAGAGGAAGGAAGCAGGAAGGAGAGAATTAGAGGAATCGTTAGCGTTAAAAAACTGCTTTTGACAACGAGGAAGTACTGACAAGATTTATGGGTTTTTAATTGTGACTATTGGTTTAAGCAGTATGGTTTGTGAAAGAAAGTAATAACACAGTAGTAGAAATCGATGAGTAAACACAGGCACACAAAGTTATAGGAATTTTAGCGGGAAATTAAATGTTTTTTTATTAGACATTGTGTTCATCTTCCATCACAAATAGCTCTAGGCCTCATTTAGCAGCCATCTGGCACTGCTCTTAATATTTAGGCGGCTACAGCGCTTCTCCAGTTCCCTGTTAGCAACTCCGAATCAAAAAAATCCTCTCGCACACACACACACACACACACTTCACCTGCTCCTGCCTGCGAGCTACAGAAAAGTTACAAGGGCTTTTATCTCTCCTCCCCAAAGGCACGACTAACAAAATAACTCATCTCATATGCGTCTGTGTATTTACAAGACAGAGGGCATATACTCAAAAAATGTTAGCTCGGGAAGTTTCTGCACCGCGTCGCACGCAGTTAATTTTCTAAAACTGGAAAGACGAGATTATAAGGAGTTCGACAAACCGCATGCTTGTTTGACAGTTTGTTTTGTTTTGTCTCCCTTTGACGTCTTGTATAGCGCTCTTCTCCCACGCTCCGTCTGCTAACGATGGTGACGGAGCCGTGTTTTCGATGAGCACGGAGTAAAAGAAAAAAAATAAAATACAAACAACATCCAGGAACCAGTTTTGGAAATGGAGAGAGTGCGTTCTAATTAGAGATAGCGTCCCTCTGAAGGTGCATGAAGGCATTTTTGTTGTCAAAGGAGCTGCTGGTGTTCCGCGGGAGCATGCCACCTCTGATTATGGAGGATTGCGGGCTGTTTAGCGGTATGAGCGCGCGCTAACAGCCTGCGTCTGTTTAGATTTGTGGCGGCTGTGATCCCAAAAGCTGCCTCCTGACTCCACACATTTGCATAAGAACAGAGAGGCAGGTGATGCGCAGCTGTGGACGCTTGTTTGGCAGGAGCTAAAGTTTAACCCCGTAGAACCCAGACATAAACATATTTGTTGAAGAAAAAATATCTGTGCTATTTTTGGAAAGTTGCCTTCAGTGGCCGCATGTTGGCATTGTTGTATTTTTGCTTGTTTGGGTTCTTGGGTACATTTTTTATTTAATGCATTAAACCAAAAAGTCATACTTCTTTAGCCATAACCGTTGAACTTGAAAGGTTATGGGTATTGCATATTTTTAACCGAGGGTGCTACGGGGGGGCCATGATTTTTAGTTTTGTCGATATACAGTAAAGCTTTTTCCTTCTGGTTTTGAACTTAAAGCTGGGCTGCGTTTTTGCACACACAAAAAAACATTTAACTGCATTTTCAACTCTTCTTCTTATACTTCTTTGTCCGCGTGATGAAATTTGTCCTCTGTATTTGAACCATCCTTCCAATGCCATGGCCTCAGTCAGGAGCAGTGGCCGCCATTGTACAGGGGACCATCTCTAGAAAGTAAACTGGCGATAATTGGGGATTGTATTTATCGATTTAAACATAGATTACTGTCCTACTTTGCTCACACTGATCACATCTCACCTCTGCGCTCTCTCTTTCGCTCCAGGTGCCAGTGATGATGGTGGAATCGGCTTCGGAGACCCTACGAACGACGCCGTCCAGTCAGAATGGAGTCAGCAGCCTCACCAGCCAATCAGATGGGGGCGGAGGCAGAGAGGGCGGGTCCAACGGCGACGCCAACGGAGAGATCAGCCCGGTAGATTTACTCCACCTGCAGCAGCAACAGGTGCGTGCTCAGGTCCACGATGTCTCTGCTACGAATGAGAAAACACAAAGGATCGCACCTATTGTCAATATAAATTAGAGTTTTGCACCCATCAGGAAGGAGTTTGTCAAGAAAAGTGTAGTCGAAAAGTGAAACAAGGAAGTTTGGTAATGACATCACTCGAGGGAAACTGCTTTTCCGGTGGATGCATTAGGATGTTTTCAATTCTATTCAACTTGTATCTGTAACAAGCACAAGATGTCTCAAATCAATCAATCATGTTATATAAGATAAGATAGACTTCCTCATGCATGTAATCCTTTTGTCAAAATACAAATACTTATTTCAGGGGATTAAACAAAAGAGATTCAAACAAGCTTTCCAGAATCAGAATTATTTTATATTTTAAGTAACAGGAAGTCACAAACTAGGAATTTACTTTGGCTCAAGGTGCAAACAGCTATAAGAGATAAAAATAAAATAAATCTACAAAGAAAACCACTTTTAGACTTAAAGTCCGGTTTAAAAAGCCAGTTTTTACATTTTAAACCCGGCGCTGATGAAAAGGAGTTTGACTCATGGGTCAATGTTCAACCAAACAAATAATAGATACATTTCTGTTTTGTATCTTTATTTTTATTATTTTTAAACTCACATTGTTACCTGCATGTTGAACATTGACATTAGAATCCCTTATTTAGAATCACATATTTACCCGTGTGTTTAATGTTCACTTTGTTTCATATTTTACTGTGAATCGTTGAGAAAGTGCAGCTTCTTTTAGTGACTTTAAAAAGAAGCGGTCACCTTGTGGTCTGTGAGACACGTGTGAGGCCGGCACTCGCTGACAGCTCCTCCGTGTTCCACTTTAATTAACACTTCGTAATCTCGCATTTGTGTCAAGTGTTTCATGTGCAGACGTCACATCGGACGTTGGACAAGAACATTTAATTACAAAAACAAGGTCCGGCAATTTCTAAGTATGTTTACATGCAAATGAGGAAACTTTGTTTATTTATTTATTTATCGGACTGTACAATATAGCAATATATATTCACTTTTAAATCCATCTTTATTTTTCTGAAACAATTCTAAATACCATGTTTGGTTTTCCAGGTCCACCTCTGAGGTATCTGGTAACACTTTCTAATAACCACTCTTCACCAATGGGTCATAGAGCATATAAAGCATGAACAAAACCTAAAAATGACGGAACTTGTTGTTACTTCAAGAGCAAATAGAATCGTGCCTTGGCTAATATTCAAGCTATTAGCTCTGTTTTCACAAATCCTGAGTAAGTTAATGTCAGCTTTGTCGTCCATTTCCAGATTGCGATGTTGTTTTCCCTTAGTTAATTACAAATAAATGTTTTTCTTTTCCTGCAAATATATAGTTACAACCATACCATAAGAGAGATGTATGGTTTACCTGCAATTGGGGGCATGAAACGTTCTTCAAATGGGATTTAAAGTCCTAAAATGTTGAGTTAATCAGTTAATTAATTTCTTCAGCCATTAGTCAACAAAAACAATTTCATATCCAACCTGGGACTATAGAGCCTGCTGGATTATAAAGCCCCCAGTTACCTATTGTCTCTGCTGTTCACATAAACACCCGAATGTAGGAATTAATCTATGTCATCAGCTCCGGAGATGAACAGCTGATAAAGTTGTGCCAAATCCATTCCTAACCTCTAACAGAATAAAATGACATACATCGGCCTCATTATTCATTATCGGGTGACAGTGGCTCAATTGGTAGAGCATTGGCCTTTGGGCCTGAAGGTTGTGGGTTCAAGCCCACCGTAAGACCTACTTCACGACTCCCACTGATGTCTGCTGTCTTTGTGTTCTTGGGCAAGACTTAACCCCACTTTGCCTGAAGCCCCCACTGAAAGGTCTCAGCTCCTGGGGACTCAGCACCTGCAGGAGGATCAGTGAGGGGCTGGTGCTCTGGGTCCTGCCTCATTATTATGCTGGCTGCCGGGTTCAAAGAGTTGTAAAAGTCACATTTTATAATCCAAAAACTACTGTAATTTTAGAGACCACATGGTTTAAGCAGAAATGTGTCTCTAACTTTACATTCTCATCTTATTAATCTAGATCCCACCTTTAATTCAGTTTGAAACTTTAGCTTAAAATAGGATAATGATGTTGTCATTTTTCCTCTTTCCTGTTGCCAAAAAAATCTAGCTTGAAATTAGAAGTAATGTGTTGAAAATTGCCAGAAACATTCTTCTACAAATCCACATTTTCGGTCTGCAGTTGGCTTTCATTCCTTGATTTCTCATTTTTGACATCTCTCTCCGCTCCTGTCGGCTCCTTATGCCCCGCTCATTCGCACTCCAGAGCTGGGGAAAAAAAACACACACACACACAGGAATTCTCAAACTTCCCGTAATTCCCTGGAACCAAAGCCGTGTCTATTTCTCATTCTCGCTGCCTGGACCGGACCCCTATAAACGCCTCTGATTGGTCTCAAAAGAACAGCGGGACACAAGTGCAAGAGGCGCAGGCACTTTTTGATTCAGGGATCACAACCTCCGGCGATCGGCCAATGAGGGGAAAGACGGTCCCGCGAGTGTCTTTAGTGATGGAAAGGGAATCATGTTGTTTGTCAAAATGTGGGATATTTGCAGCTGATGGAGACTGGACAAAGGCAGGAGCACTCTAAGCACAGTTTTTTTTGTAACTAGAGGGTCCGGACTGCTTCTTCTTCTGCAGAAGTGGGGTCATGGCTTTTGGATGCATTTGGTCTTGGAAGGCGCCAGAGTGCTTTGTGGTCTAGATATGGTTTTTATGTAATGGTTAAGTTTATTATTGTTGTCGCCTACAAGTTACATGCAGTGGAATTCTTATCTACCTCCAGCAGATTTTCAGTACAGTATTTGGGACGAAAGAAGAGACAGATACACAGAGTTTTAGGCCTGGTTTAGCAAGTGTTATGGCTTCAGGTTAGCTAATGAGAAATGTACGTAGAGAGAATGGAAATATATGACTCTAAGTTATAAGTGACTGAATAACTGTGTTTTTGACTGAGGACAACGGTAAGAATTAGACTAAACGAACAACACAGCAGCAAATGTATAACAGAGATTCAACTGTTAGGTTTACTCATAATTAGTTTTAAGCCTCCTCCGTCCCTCCACCTCTCCTCATCCCTCTGCTTATCTTCTGTTCTCATCACCCCTCCCTTCCAGCTCTCCTCTCCTCCTACACTCCCCTCCTCTTTACACCTCTTCTCTTTCCTCCACTTACAGTCTTCCTGAAGATGTGAGACAGGCTTCTTCTCTGGCAATGTTCAAATCAGGGATAAAACCAGTTCTGTTTAGCTGTGCGTAACTAAGGCATTGTAGTTTTACTTTTTTCGATCATAGATTCTTTATGATTCTAATGCCTTTGAGTTTCCTTGTGTATGAACTGTGCTATACAAATAATCTCGCCTTGCCAACTCGTCCACCCCTTCCCTCCTCTTTTCCTGTCCTCCACCTCTCCTCCTCCCCCTTTCCCTCTCGCCCCTTACCCTCCTCTCTCCCCCCTACTCCTCTTCACTACCTCCACTCCACCTCGTCCTCCCTTGCAGCTCTTCTCCTCTTCTCGCCTCTCCACCTCGTCTCCCATCTTCCCTACCCCTCCTCCTCTCCTCTTTTCTCCTCTCCTCTTTTCTCCTCTCCCCCCTACCCTCTCCCTCATCTTCTCTTCTCTCCTCTCCACCTCATCTCTCTTTTTCTCTCCTCTCCACCTCATCTCTCCTCTCCTCCTCTTCTCTCCTCTCCACCTCCTCTCTCTTCTCTCCTCTCCACCTCTTCTCTCCTCTCCACTTCTCCTCTCCTCTTCTCTCCCCTCCACCTCTTCTCTCTTCTCTCTTCTCCACCTCCTCTCTCTTCTCTCCTCTCCACCTCTCCTCTTCTCTCCTCTCCACCTCTTCTCTCCTCTCCACCTCTCCTCTCCTCTTCTCTCCCCTCCACCTCCTCTCTCTTCTCTCCTCTCCACCTCTCCTCTCCTCTTCTCTCCTCTCCACCTCTTCTCTCCTCTCCACCTCTCCTCTCCTCTTCTCTCCCCTCCACCTCTTCTCTCTTCTCTCTTCTCCACCTCTCCTCTCCTCTTCTCTCCCCTCCACCTCTTCTCTCTTCTCTCTTCTCCACCTCTTCTCTCCTCTCCTCTTCTCTCCCCTCCACCTCTTCTTTCATTTCCCCCTCCTCTCCCCTCTCCACCTCCTCTCTCCTCTCCACCTCCTCTCTCCACCTCTTCTCTCCTCTCCTCTCCACCTCTTCTCTCCTCTCCCCTCTCCCCTTCCCCCTCCTCCTCCTCGGACCTGCCTCCTCAGCACCTTCTCGAGGACACACCGCTCTCGCACAAAGCTCCTTTCTTCCTCATGTTTTTGCACCTGTGTGTCTGAAGCGGTGCGTGCAGCGCGATTTGCTATTTAACTTTCTTTTTTTTTTTGCGTCTTCACCGACCGCAAACATCGGCCTCCCCCTTCTCTCCCCCTCCTCTCCCCCTTCTTCCTCTCTATCCAAAGGCTCAACCTTTCCCCCACATCCCAAACATGTTACCTTCACACACACGTAGTAAGTGCACTCATTTTTCCGCTAATTCCACTCTTTACTCTCGTCTGTTTGACCCAATTTGCAGAGATTGACAGAATGCGAGCCGTCGTGAAGTATGTTTTTGCTGGTTTTGAATTTCACTTCGGTGGATGTTTGGAATGGGCCTGTACTGTTGACTCAGCTCTGGACACACCTGCACAAGTATTCCGGGCCCAGTTTGCAGCTTTTTGAGCAAAACATTTCCTTTTCTGTAGTTTGAATTCACATCATGTATGAATGGACAATGCGGTTTTTCAGTCTCTGTTGTTTGTGAGTTAAGTGTGTCGTTCATTTTGTCACAAGCTAAGTTCCTCAATGAGCTGTAGAGATCATTTACAGTCTACATTGTAAAAAGTGTATCTTAATTTGTGCACAGTTTGTCTTTAAAAACAAGATTTGCCAATTGAGCCGGGGCAAAATTATCTGATGATTA